CTCTCTCTCTCTCTCTCTCTCTCTCTCTCTCTCTCTCTCTCTCTCTCTCTCTCTCTCTCTCTCTCTCTCTCTCTCTCTCTCTCTCTCTTCCCAGTTGTTTGTCTCTCTCCTCCCATATCTCTTGTAGGGGCAATCACGTAACCGAAACCGAAGATGTTCACAATCCAGATACAGGTGGCATCCCTACCGACAGCGGGCCCGAAAAATTATACGGTTGTAGTGCATCTGGATGTAGAGGATGTTCACAATCCGGATACAGGTGGCATCTTTGCCGATAGCGGGCCCGAAAAATTATATGGTTGTAGTGATGTCGACAAAGTCGATGCTTTCCACAACCAAGTGTAACTGTGTCATTGATCTCACAAAGAAGGAGGTCACAAGGTGTTAGTGCAGCATGTGGGGGAATGAAGACTAAAACAGGCACGGTGACAGACATGGAAATAGGCATGGAGACAGACACAGAAACAGGCATGGAGACAGGGAGGCAGCCACAGAGACAGGTGCAGAGGTGGGGACGGTAGGCATAGAGACAGACACAGAAACAGGCATGGAGACAGGTGAGGAGGCAGGCACGGAGACAGGTGCAGAGGCGAGGACAGAAGTACAAGAGATACCCATAGGGTCAGTAATCTGGAAGGAGACAGGCACAGAGACAGGTACGGAGGCAGGCCCAGAGACAAGCGTAGAGGCGGGCATGGAAGTACACGAGGTACCCATAGGGATCAATGACCTAGAACAGTTGCAGGTTAGGGTAATTACGCACGAGATCACAAATGGCAGTAATAGTTTGCACCATAGCACCGCCATTCCATAATTCCCAAGAACCAGAGTCACGGACAAGAGCGGTGTAGTGGCTAGGAGCATCTAGAATATAGGCACAAACGTGCGAACAATGGTCCGAGTCGCCACCCAAAGGGGCACGCTGCATATCAAGTCGGCGCCTTATCAAAGCAGTCTCCAAAACARAGACATTGAATCCCCCATGTGGAGTGTAATTACTATCTTGCGGGGGATGCAAAGTCGGGTTATCGCCATGTAACTCACGTTCCTGAGCATCAAGATCGAAAGCAATGACCAAGAAATCAGAGTGAGTATATGGTTCCCGACGATAGGCTTGTAAGCATATATATAATATATATATATATATATATATATCGTCAAATAGAACTGCCCGGTAAACTGTAGGCAGAGAGGGAGAAGAGGACAACAAACGAGGGGCTGTGACAAACTGTTTCGTCGGAGTTTCACCGACTCATCAAGAGGCTGAACCCTCAACAGTCTGCAGAATCCCCTCACTGATTACACTGTAAATGATAATCTANCGGAGTTTCACCGACTCATCAGGAGGCTGAACCCTCAACAGTCTGCAGAATCCCCTCACTGATTACACTGTAAATGATAATCTACCTTAACCAAAATCAAAGTAGACTATCACTCACCCACACCAGATGGAAATATATATATATATATATCGTCACAAATAGAACTGCCCGGTAAACCGTGGGCAGAGAGAGAGAAGAGGACAACAAACGAGGGGCTGTATATATATACGGTTTACTGGGCAGTTCTATTTGACGATATATATATATATATATATATATATATATATATATATATATATATATATATATATATATATATCGTCACAAACAGTTATCACATTGTGAATCAGACCACGAAGGCGAAAAAAAGCAAAACAAGGGAAGGAAAGGAAGGAAGGAACCCACATGTTCATCACCTCTTACGTACAAGGCCAGCCACGTGGATGACAGGTTGAGCGTTGGCTGCCCCCATCCCTGTGTGTCACAAGGACCCACTTGCACGCAGCCAAAAGGCAAAGAGGTAAAGAAAAGGAGGAGAAAACCAGTCCTCACAGAGGCAAGAGAAAGAGAAAGGTCAAAGAAAAAACAAAGGAAGAAAACAAATGGCACATCCCACAGATAAACCAATTGTCATTGTCACTACAAAGTTCAACATATTTTTTTCTTTTTTCTTTTTTTTTGTTTTCTGTTTTCTTTTATCCAGAAATTTGTACTTTTTCTCTTTCTTTCTTTTATCTGTCCTACAATTAGTGTCGCTCCTGATCACTTAATTCTATTGACCAGTCAGGAAGAGGAGCCCCCACCCCGGCAGATAGGACAGGCACGCTGAGGATGACGTGGATGTTCACAAGGATACCCAAGGAGAGCTACTTCAGCACAGCATTCAGCAGGACGGCTAGCACGGACCATCCAATCAAAACAGTCCTCACAAAGGACATGTTGTCCACATGTCAAAAAAACAGCGGGACGTTCATCACAGTGCGGCATCATGCAGTCCTGATAGCATCCTTGAGCACAAAAGGGACAGCAAATATCTCGGTGATAGGGATGTGTACAATGAGGAAATGTTGGACACCCTTCGGCACAGACGGCGGCTGCTGCAATAAATTGATAATGTTGATGGCCTAGGTGATGAATTCCGCAGCCAAGACGCACCGGGTCCCTATCCCGACAGGTGTCACACGAGAGTCGATCAATAATCCAGAATAAAGTATGATTCAGTAATGCACACAGAAATTCATTTATATTGAAAATAGCCTGAATCATTGTCCCACCATCCCACAGTTCCCACTGGGCAGCTGCACGAATGAGTGTCATATAATGCCCGGGTCTGTGCAAAATACAGGCAGAAATATGAGGATAGTAATTAAGGGCATCGCTTG